CTTGCACATAGGTAAGCTTGTATGTACTGTTATTTATCTGGTAGCCTGTCCGTGTTTTCATCCTCGAGCTGTGAGCAAAGACAGCAGAATCGCCCCGAACTTTGTCTGATCCAGACTTTCTGGTCGTAACCTGATCAGGAGTTTGTTTGCCTCGAAGAGAAATGCACTCAGTTCGAGGCTATAGCGCTACAAGCAACAAACTAACGCCACTTTGAACTGAGCAGTATACTAGTTTCGAAATTCGACATTACTGCGTACACCCTTTCTATATTAAAAAAAGCTTCTTTCAAATTGGAGTTTCGTCTAAGTGGGCTGAATCAGTACGAATGCGACAGAACTCCTATGGCTTTCAAATACTCTATTAAGCTCTCCTCTGGGGGATGATAACGTTTTGCTAGGTGTTAGGCTTTGCTGATAAAATTTGAACAAGTCGGGCAGGAGATAAGTGTCTTTGTGTTTATTATTGAAGATATACGTTTTGAAAAAAAAAAATAGTAACAAATAAGATGCTAGCCAATCAGCGGGATAAACGAGGAAGTTGTTGGCATCTGATCGGAGACCATCAGCATGAGAATGGACATCGACAGCAGCGTCGTGATGCCGAGCGAAACCTTCTCTTCTCGCATTCCACTTGCGGTTGATGTCCTGAAATTCATAGGATTAGCTAAATGTCTGGGAGAGGGAAAGGGGAGGGGAGGGAGAAAGGGGAAGAGGGGGAGGGAAGGCGAGGGGGAGAAGCAATAAAATAAAAGAAACTCACGTAAAAAAACCGACAATAGCGATCAGTGTGATAATGCTGGTTGGGATGATAAGATTTATTATATAAAATAACGGTTTGCGTCGCAGATAGAGTGTAATCCATAACAAAGTGTACTTGTTCGGGCAGCACTCGTACTTCATCTCCTTCCTTTCCACTGCAAACACAGGTCCTATTTTTGCTATTGATAAAGTGATAAAAACTGTTTAATTCGGCTCTGCTGAAGTTTGTTTTGTGAAAATTTGATCTCACTGCTGACACTAAGCTGCTCAAAAATTATGCCATTACCCTTAGACATCCTGTAATTAAAAGGAACCTGAAGTCCTGAGAATATGCCAGCCCTCGTTTTCAATATAATTGGTTGTACCGACCGTATCTGAGTACGCGAAATAGTCGATTCCTTTCTGATCAAACGTCCAACTTGAAAATATCATTTT